TAGCATATAATAAGCATAAAATAAATACAAGATTCACTGATCATAATAAATCATATATAAGTTCATCAGGTGACTATGGTGCTCGTTACTCCAGCGTCCACCTGGAGATGGTGGATGTGCATATAGGTGTATAAGCAATGTGCACTCACCAGAAAGTGCAAGTAAATGCGCGTTAATAATTTATCCTGATGTCGTCAAATGGTCATCATGGGGTGATGGCAGGAATCTTATGCCTTTCCTCTATGGCTAGATGGATCCTGAGATGTGGGTTGGTTGATATCCAGATAATCCAGAGTTCCCTTTTATGGGATAGGTGGGTGAAGTCCTCTGGGTCTAGTGGAGGCTCCCTCTCTGGAGGTTAGGATAGCTGTGAAACCAAAAACTCCCCAGGGGAGTCAAAGCAAAAGGATGCCCACAGTGTAGTAACTTTTAAAATAATTTATTGCAATAATCCGAGTTAAAACACGACAAGATGAAATGCAGGGCATGAAAAGCAATGTGGACTAACCGTCCAAGTTTAAAGATGGCCGCCGGAGCTCCACGTTGCTCCGGTGGCGTGACGTCACAGCGTTACTGGCTCTTCTTTACCCGCCCGTCGTCTGAGGCGAGTGTCAGTGTAATATACCTTTCTATCTATGTACGAATGTTAGCAGCATAGGGTTTAAAAATAGTCAATGTTGATTGAGAGAGTGAACTTCCACTTTAAGACATCTGAGCAAATGTCTTTTTCATAATTTTTCTAATTATCGTAAAGGATGATTCAGACTTGCTTGCGTCTTTCAGATTGACTTAATTTCTATTTGTCTGTCTGTGGGAAAATACAGTGGTGGTGATTTTTTTTTTTTTCTACTCATGTGAAGCATGACTTTTAACACACATCACCAAGTGACACCAGCGAACATTTCTGTGTCCTACTGATGTCCCAGGCATCTTGTTGACCCTTCGTGATTAACAATTTTCCGGGGATCATGTTTGGAATTCTGTATTCTTCCTAGATCTCTTTTCCATTACAACAGTCAATTTCTCCGCACAGTGTTTTCTTATAATTAAATCATCTGTTAATATTCCTATCCTGAAAATGAATATGGAATTATGGCTTAAAAAGGATGAGTTTTCTATTCCATCTGTCATTTTACTGTGTGAGACAGAAGCAGTATTCCATTGCCGGAGTTAAACATGGAAAGTCAGGTGACCAGACCCAGGGAGGGAGGATAATCATTCCAATCACATAACAAAAATGAGGAGCTATTTTCCACCAAGCTCTCCCTGAGGTTCCATGGAATTTCTTCCACGTTTCATCTGTAGACATAACATACTAAGATTCATAATAAAAGTATCTGTCCTTAATTACATGCCTGTACACCCAATTCACTAAGCTAAAACACCAGAATAAAGAGCTTTATGCAGGCCATACATGGTTTGAATCCCGAACAAATTTCGTACGAAAATCGGACCTAAGAATAATTGGATGATTTTCGCTCTGTTAGTGGGGCAATGACATCGGCTGATTTTTGTGGTTCCTCCCCATTTCGTTTATGCTGGTAAATTCGTGAAAAATGACCAATTTTCGAAAGCATTGGTGGCACCATTGGATTACAGAACGAACGACGTTTCAATTTTTGGACGAAAAATCGTTCGAAATTAGAACCATGTATGGCCTGCATTATTTTCAAAAAAGTGACAGTTATTTTCAGTTGAGTCCACTGAGACTAAATATTAGGCCTCTTTCACACAGGCAGTTCTGCCGCTTATAAATGTATGTTTTTTTACTTTGGAAATCCAACACTCCTGGCAAACTTTACGTTTGTATATTGCGTTTATCTGTAATTACGTGCGTTTTACATGCATCTGCATTTAGCTGCGGTAGTAAATTCTTGCTTTTTCTAATGCAACTGTTTGCTTTTGTTCTTTTTACTGCGATTAACTGCATATATGTACAGATAGCTGCAGTACATCGCTCCTGGACGCTGTCAACTTTAGTTTTCCTAAACTCCTAAAACCGTATGCTATGAAAACGTTGCTAAACGCAGTGTGTGAATGGAACCATAGAGATGCATTGTCTGCATATAGCTGCAGTAAATTAGTTCCTCTAAACACACCTAAAAGCTGAAAACTAACCTCCCATCTGAAAGGGGCCTTACAGTCACATGGCATTCTTATCCTTGTGTAAAATAGAATTGAGCAGCATGTATCTGGTATTTAAATAAGGAAATTGAGGAAAGAAGAAAGATATATAATCTAAATCTTGTAACAAGAAGCTATAAAAAAAAATTGCCAAATCCAGAAGCTAATGGGGTTATTAAACTGATTCTGTAGCTATCTCCTTCTGTGCGAAGTGGTATCAACATTTTAATGGCGGTACCAGGCATTGTCAGGGCAGGTTCCCTCTAGATCAGTTGCTCAAGACTGGCCTCTCAATGTGATGGGTGAGACTCATTAAATTGTGAGGCAAGAGCTAAGTGCCAGTTTTCTAATGGAGGTCTATATTATGTAGAGGATTTTGAAGCTCTCAGGGTGCTTTGGAAGTTAACAAAAGGTACATGAATGCACCATTGGTACTTTACACAGGAAGATCCTAGTAGATCCACTTTTGAGATTGCACACAGCGATGATAAATAGTGAACATATACTGGTAAAAAAATTAATCAGTTTAACTGAGGTGTAGTTTGTAATGTGCATGCTTGGATTGTCTTAATTGCTTCACTACTTAGTGAGTTACTAACAACAAATCTTGTACAAATCCGTTCTGTCAACACTTTATATTCACAAGCTTGTTCAAGGTAAATGGGTAAAGATGACAGGCCTGGAGCCTAAACCTGCAATAACAAATTAGCAATGGCGGTTCCCATACTCCTTACAAGCCCCAGTTAAGCCGACCATACATAGACTGAAATCCAGCCAGTTCAACAGGGATCCATGTATGGGAAGACTGATTGTACCCAAGTCGAGATCAATTTAGGTACAAGCAGCCCTTTGGATTATTTACATACGGTTAGTGCCGGTGGCTATAGTAGCTACCAATAATCATCGTGTTCTTCTGGCCAGGAAGACTCCCTGCATCCCCCTGTTGACACAATAGCCATTTCACCATCAATACTGTTTATCTTGATGGGGTAATCTAGTTTCCTTCCACCCATGGTGGAAGAAAAGAAAATAGAATCATCTATGGGCTGCTTTAAGAGCTATGCTATGGTTTATGAAATGTACTTAATGTGTCATAACTGCTGTAGTTACACAGGCAGATATTGTGGAGTTGGGTTATAGGTGTAGAATGGTAAGAACGTACTTGTTATCTGTAAATGGTAAGTCCCACAGCACTGTGCTTTCAGGTAATGGGGTATGAAGTATGGCAACAATGTGCTGGTGACTCCAATATCATGGGAGAGGCTTTACTAAAAGTGAATGAAGACTATTCTTATGTTGGTACCCATGGTGCAGAACGTGATGGCTTCAGGTCAGCAACCTGGAATTGTAGTAATGCTGAACTTGCTTTCACTGTGTTAATAAACAAGATCTAACTTTGCAATTTAGGCCAATGCTAAGGTACAAAACAAAGACATTGAAAAATGTTGAACTCTTGGTTTAATATATCTACCTAAATGTTGTGAATACTCCCATAGGGATCCATAAATTTCAGACCCCCCAATAGGTCCGTGAACAAGAGTGATTTGGCTCAGTAAGATATTCCTATTTATGTTCTTGGAGAATGGAACGGGGTAAGAAATGAGTGGTGCAGGTCGATGCTCCCACTAACCCCAGCGGTAACAATATCAGTCGGAAAATGTCTTCATTTTTTCCTTGTTAACCGCTTTGCCAAACAGAGGCTTGCTGTTCGGATCAGGAACATCCACTAGATATTACATTTTTGCATGTCCAAGTCAAAAGGGGCTGATACAAGTGGCACTTAGCTTAAGTTTATGAATAGCCCTACTAACTGTACAGGAGGTTTTTTTTTTATCTCTGTATTAATAGTAGTATAACACTCTAAAATAGAATTGTTTTTTCTCTTCTAGGTGGGAGCATGCCATCTTGATGGTCTGTAACATGGGTCGGTTCACAGACTTTGGCACCCAGACCGATGCTGTAGTGGTGCTGTCTCTAGCACAAGCTGCAGTTTTGGGACTGGTGTCAGAAAATGAACTATTTGGTGCCACCATCAGTCCTAGAAATTTTCTCCCAGCCTCCAGAAGTGAGCCCTCAAATAATGGACTAGTTGAAGATGAAAAGCCAGAACCAGAAACGTTCATTAACACAGAGGGAAAAGAGGACTCTATGGAAGATGAGGGCTTGGACCCTGAAAAGCACACAAGGCGGAAGAAGCGACAACCTGTCAAAGTCATTCCAAAAATTAAGTCTGAAAAACTTGAGGAGGAGGGAGATGGAGAAATCTGCCAAGTTGTGGTGGAGACCAAAAATGAAGAGCCAGATAGTGAGGAAGCAGTTCCTCAAAATGCTCAGGAACAGGAAAGTGATAACACTGTACAGAACAATTCTTTAAAAATGATTGACCTCAGCACATTTCGTAGGCGGCCCAGGAGGCGACATTTTCGTGACAGGCAGCGCCATGAGGCAAATGCAGACTACAGACACGTTGCGCAACACCCTTATCAGCATGCATACCCTATTCCTCCAATGCCAGTTATCCCAGGGAATTCCAGTGTGGATGGCATGCAAAGGCAATGTAGTTATGGTTCGAACGTAATGCAGCCTAGTGAAAGTCAAGCCCCATCCATTGGATCTCCTAAGACCGAGGACAGTGGACAAAACTACTCCTGGTCAGATCCGAACGATTTTGAATCAGACACAACTGATTCCATTGAGCGTAATAAAAAGGCCCAGCTGGATAGATTAGATATAAATGTCCAGATTGACGATTCTTATCTGGTTGAGGCTGGAGACCGTCAAAAGCGATGGCAGTGCCGGATGTGTGAGAAATCCTATACCTCAAAATACAACCTAGTAACACACATTTTAGGGCATAGCGGAATCAAACCCCACTCATGCCCACATTGCAACAAACTTTTCAAACAACCAAGCCACTTACAAACCCACCTCCTCACCCACCAGGGGACAAGGCCACACAAGTGTGATGTTTGCAATAAAGCATTCACACAAACCAGCCACCTGAAAAGACACATGCTGCTGCACACCGACATCAAACCGTACAGCTGCCGATTTTGTGGCCGAGGCTTTGCCTACCCAAGTGAGCTCAAAGCCCATGAAGTGAAACATGAAAAACGGCAGGTGCCATGTCTGTGTAGAGTGTGGTTTGGACTTTGCCACTCTGACACAACTGAAGCGTCACATCTCCTCCCACCAGGGACCCACAATGTACCAGTGTATGGAATGCAACAAATCCTTCCACTACCGCAGCCAGCTACAAAACCACATGCTAAAGCATCAGAATGTCCGACCATTTGTCTGTAAAGAGTGTGGCATGGAATTCAGCCAGATCCACCATCTCAAGCAGCATTCATTAACACACAAGGTGAGTAGTGATCTGTTAACTTTCTTCTATCAATATGAGCTATAAGACTGAAAGTTTCTGAGGGAGGATATGCTCTTGCTGCCCATAGTAACCAATGCAATCGTCCTTTTTATTGTTCCTTTCGGGTATAGGAGAGAGAATGGGAGAATCTGATTGGCTGATCGGTGCAACAAGACAGGATTTTTCTATAGCCATTTTAAATCATATTGCTTCTTCATTTTTATTCTTTGTAGGGTGTTCTGGTTGAATCTTATTGATACAAAAAACTATAGTAAAGGTATAGAAAATTATATAGAATTAAGCCAGTACATGAAACAAAACCCTCCCATCTAATATACACTGATCAGCCATAACATGATGACCACTCACCTAATATTGAGAAGGCCCTCCTTTTGTTGCTAAAACAGACTTGACCCATGAAGGCATGGACACCACTAGATCTCTGAAAAAAGGTATGCTGTGGTATCTGGCACCAAGCTGTCAGTAGCAGATCACTGCCTCCGCCGGCTTGCCTTCTTCCCATACTGCATTCTGGTGCTATCTCTTCCCCAGGTAAGTGATGCACACACACTCGGCCATCCACACAATGTAAAAGAAAACTTGATTCATCGACCAGTCCACCTTCTTCTGTTAGTTCTGATGCTCACCTGTCCATTGTAAGCTCTTTTGGCTGTGGACACTGGTCAGCCGGTCTGTGGCTATGCTGCCCCATACGCAACACACTGCGATGCACTTTGTGTTCTGAACCCTTTTTATCGGAACAGGGGCGGACTGACAACTCATGGGGCCCCTGGGCAATAGGGGATCATGGGGCCCCTGTGTCCTTGCCCAAACTGAAAAAAGCCTATGAAAAAGGTACCAGGGGCATCTCATGGGGCCCCCTACTGACCCCGGGCCCTCGGGCAGTGCCCGAGTTTCCAAATGGTTAGTCCTCCCCTGTATCGGAACCAGCACTACCTTTTTCAGCATTTTGAAATATAGTCGCTTTTCTATTGGATCAGACTACACAGGTCAGCATTCACTCCCCACATTCATCAATGAGCCTTGACTGCCCATGACCCTGTTGCCCGTTCACCAGTTTTCCTTCCTTGGACCACTTTTGGTTGGTCCTGACCACTGCAGACTGGGAACATCCTACAAAAGCTGCAGTTTTGGAGTTTCTCTGACCCACTTGTATAGACATTACAATTTGGCCCTTGTCAATGTCACTCAAATCCTTATGCTTGCCCGTTTTTTTTCTGCTTTAAAAAAAATAACCTTCATGGGCGACATGGTTACTTGCTTCCTAATATATCCCACCCACTTTCAGATGCCATTATAGCAAGATAATCAATGTTATTCACTTTACCTGTCAGTGGTCATAATGTTATGGCTGATCGGTGTATGAACAAAGTAGCACATGCAAGATATTGTAGAACAATCACAAGAGAAAAGCCACAGGTTGCTGAGCCTGCTCTGCAAGTATTGAGATATATTTATTTGTTTTTTTAATACATGTTTGCATTGCACAGGAACTCAGGATATAGGGAACACCCAGGGAAGCAGAAACAATCATACGTTTGTAGCTCATAATGTTCTCCTACCTGCAGACAATACATGTACTGATTAACAATGCTATTATCCTCCTGTATAGCTTTTTAACATATAAGAACATAGCACTGTATGTTATGCCTATTAATGAGTACAATGTTCCCTGTTAATTTAAAATGCTGTATCTGTGCTAGTGTTTATCTGTTCCTTTTTTATTTTTCATTGGTTTGATTTTCTTCCCTGTGGCTGGTTGGCAGTTCCCCTACAGAGCTATCTGGCTCCCTCTAGTGTAATGTGGATCTAAAACTGTCACTTTTCTTTTACAACTTTTTGTTAAAGGGAATGTAGAGCCCCTTAAAATGATTTCTCTGATAACTATGTACATTAAATCAACCTAATATCATGAATATGTCGCATTGTGACAGTTTGTAATTATCTATAGGGTTAGTCATAGTTACTCATTACATACACACTCTGTTTCCTGTATTGTAATTCTACACAATGATAGTCATTGACTGCTCTGTCTAAAGCTAGCCATACATCTGTTGCTTAGCACGGTAGAATGAGTGAAAAAACGTTTGATATCCCAATGAGAGCATGCATGGATAAATCTCCTTTGCCATGGATTCCTGCTGTCAGAATACCCGAACAAGGACTGTATCTGATTGGCTACAGTTACTGTTTGGTTGACTTTTTTTCCACCTGACTTTTGATTTCTGATTCAAAATTTTGTTGAGCTGGGTGGTGTTGGCAGGGCCAGTCACCAGGGCTGGGACAAGAGGTGAGCAGGAGGCTGCAGCCCCGGGCGCAAGGGTTTATTGCAGGGATGGAGGCACCCTGTGCTAAGTCCCTTCTATTACAAGGCGGACCGGAATAGTGACCGCAGCATCACTACTCCTGTCAGCCCAGCACTGGGAGCAGTGAGGAGAGAGCGAGGAGGGGTGTGGGTTGCGCACCCCTCTAAGCAGATCCTCTAAGCTCACACTGCCACTGCTGCTAAGTCCTGGCACTGTCACTCAAGGTCCAAATTTCTGGTAATTCACAGGAAACTGCCAAAATTCAAGCCACGTATAACCAGCGTAAAGGGTAACTCCACTTTCATGGGGGAAAAAATAGCAAATTATTATTATACAGTATTTATAAAGCGCCAATAGTTCGCTCAGCGCTGTACATTACAAAGGGGGACAGAACATGTGACAGAACAATACCAATACAATGCAAAACATGAGGGGATCGAGGGCCCTGCTCTTTCAAGCTTACAATCTAGGAAATAAAAAAAATGAATATAGTATATACAAATGCTACACAAGTCATATTGTACTTGAATGTTATTAAAAATTACCTCTCATTTTCAATCTTCAGCCACAGTAATTTTCTGTAAAATGCAATACAATATGGCAACCTGGAGGCCTTTTGTGCACAGATAGTGTACAGAATGCCACTCCCCCAGAAATGTCATTTCCAGCTTGTGTGATTGGCTCACCAATTTCCCTGGACGTCTGCACTAAGATACAAGTCAGATTTTTTGCATCCCCTACAACAAAAATGGCATTTTTTTGGTGAGGTACTTCCAAGGAAAATCTCATTTAGAAGGATGCAGACCCTGACACTTTCCTCAATAGAACCCTGTAAGTGCAACAGCTGATTGATTATTAAAAAATCATTCCCATTAGATTCACTTTCCACATGGACACAGACAAACAAGCAGCTATTTCTTCCGAAATAACAATCTGAAACACAATTTTAAATCCTTGCAATGTACATTGATCACCCATAGGGGAATTTTTATTTTTTCAAGAAAAGTTACTCTTTAAAGTCTTCTTGCATGGCTGTTTACCTGCACACACCAGATTCCAGCGGCAAGAGTCAGCAGATGTCTGAGCCTGGACGTGGCTGACTGCATTCAGGCTCGGACAGTAACCCTGTAGTGTGTGGCTACATACAAACAGTGGTGACTGGTCGCTGTCAGCCTGTCATTCCTTTATATTAGATGAACAGCTGCTGCTATTTGCATGCACCTGTCATTCCAGCTGCATGTAATGGAGGCCTTGGGGTTTTTAAACCGATTGAAAATAATGCACTCCCTATACGGCTGCTATCTTATTACCACATTTGTTAAGAAGAGAAGCAGAGTGAATGCTAATGTATTGTTCCCTCTAGTGGCTGATCTACAAATCTTTCTGTTTAATACATTAATATGAAAGAACAAGCTTGTATAAATGTGAAAGATTTATCAAAAATTACTTTTAAGATGAATACTTCAAAGATAAGTCTAAATTGGTGGCCAGTGAAAATATCTCTACGTTCCCTGTAACTGGAGGAAATGACTCTGTAAATGAAAGATTAGAATGCAGTGTCAGATTGACATCACAGTGACACCCCAGGGTTCTTTTATATAGGTTGGCTGCATTCAAATAAGCAACAGAATTGAGCAAATCCGCAACAGTATTCCGTCAGGTAGAAGAGATGTTTTGGTTCAGAGATTTTCCTTAAGGGCTCATTTACACTGGCGTTGCCCTCTGAAGAGTGATCTGAGGTGGATCACTTTATAGAGAACATTGGACAGATGAGAAGTTATGTCACCTCCTCACTGTCTGTTTTAACCCCTAAAACCCCACACCACCCAGCAGCAGCCACCTGCATTTCACGCATTTGCGTCCTCAATCAGTTAATTTGGTCATGTTCAGCAGGCGATGCTGCCCACCAAGTGCAGTTGGGGGTAAGTACCAAATGTGATGGGCTGAATACTTTTTGCCATGCTGCGATATCTTTCCTGTGCATGTTAAGGGGGGGGTGCAGTAAAAATGCAACTCAACTGGCGTGTTTTTACCATCCACCAAATTGTAAGTATAAACTAGTCCTAAGGGGTGATTTGATAAATGTTACCAGATGAATTGGCTCACTGTCTGTTGGCTAACGGGGTGGCACAGTGGCTTAGTGGTTAGCACTTCCGCCTGGCAGTACTTGGGTCATTGGTTTGAATCCCAACCACGGCACCACCTGCCTGGAGTTTGCATGTTCTCCCTGTGCCTGTGTGGGTTTCCACCGGGTACTCCGGTTTCCTCCCACACTCCAAAGACATGCAGGTAGGTTGATTGGATCCTGTCTAAATTGTCCATAGTATGTGTATGTATGAATGTAAGTTAGGGACCTTAGATTGTACGCCCCTTGAGGGTTAGGGACTGATGTGAATGTACAATATATATGTAAAGCGCTGCATAAATTGACGGTGCTATATAAGTACCTGAAATAAATAAAAATAATGTCCCGTACCCTTTAGCTCTGGAGTTTTACCTATGCAGTACAAGCCTATTGTCATGATTAGACAAGGTTGACAGCCTTCCAGAAGTAAAAGAAACAAGCAGTCTGAGGGCTCCCAAGATTGACATATGATTATCTCAGTTTAAAGGGGTCAGGAGACGTGCATGCTTCATTTTATAAAGACAATATTAAGTCCTTTCTTCAATTGTACATCTCCTTATGAAGGAACACTCGCACTACAACAAAATATACAGAACATCCAATCAATAAATGAGGATCACTTTACCATAGAACTGATTTGCAGGTTGATGATTATTTATGGTATATTTTCTTTAAATAAAAATTTCTACTGGTTGGATATTACACATTTTCATGGGTCTGACACCAAGAAATCATTTTCAGTTTATTACGTGGAGATTATGTTTCGAATGTAAACCAAAAATTGTTAGGAGATCGGATGGATCCCCTAAGACAGAGGTTTAAAAGTGAATCGACTGCGGTGTAATAAGGTTAGACAGATTTAATGAGATCAATATCGGTAATAAGGCCAATTAGTCAACAGCAGGACTGACCATTTGGAAACTCGGGCACTGCCCGAGGGCCCGGGGTCAGTGGGGGGCCCCATAAGATGCCCCTGGTACCTTTTTCATAGGCTTTTTTGAGTTTGGGCAAGGACACGGGCCCCATGATCCCCTATTGCCCGGGGGCCCCATGAGTTGTCAGTCCGCCCCTGGTCAACAATCCTCCATTCACCCTTAAAATAGGGTAAGATAACGTTATCTCCTTAACTGTGTCAATACCGGGCCTTTTACCCCCTTCCTGCCCAGACCAATTTTCAGCTTTCAGCACTCTCTCACTTTGAATGATAATTACTCAGTCATGCAGCATTGTACCCAACTGAAAATTGTGTCCTTTTTTTCACACAAATAGAGCTTTCTCTTAGTGGTATTTAATTAGCAGTGGGTTTTTTTCATAGTTTGCTCTGTAAATTAAAAAAGACCAAAAATTTGGGGGAAATTTTTTTTTTTCTTCGTTTCTGTTATACAATTTAGCAAATAAGTAATTTTTCTTCATAAATTTGGGCCAGAATGTATACTGCTACATTGCTTTGGTAAAAATAATCCCATTCGGTGTATATTATTTAGTCGGTAGGGACGTTACAGAGTTTACAAGCTATAGTACCAATCATTAAAAATTGAACACACGTGATCAAACCTGATCAGACGACCTTCTCTCTAGTTCCCGGGTCTCCTCCTCCCATGCCCGCCTCCAGGACTTCTCCAGGGCATCACCCATCCTCTGGAATTCCCTACCCCAATCCATCAGACTATCACCTACTGTCCTCTCCTTCCTCTCTTCCCTGAAAACCCACCTCTTCAGGGAAGCCTACCCCACCCTCTGCTAATTGCCGATCTCCTCCACTCTTCCTACCAGTCCATCCCCCACAGATTTTCCTCCCGTACCACTATCCCCTCCCTCCTAGATTGTAAGCTCCAAGGAGCAGGGCTCTCGAACCCCTCGTGTATCGCATTGTATTGTTATTTATTGTACTGTCTCATGTATTGTCTCCCATTGTAATGTACAGCGCCGAGCGAACTGTTGGCGCTATATAAATACTGTATAATAATAATGTACTGATGGCCTATGTCATTTATTGAGACACTAACAAGCCAGGACAGTACAAATACCCCCCATTGACCGCTTTTTGGAAAGTAGACATTCCAAGGTATTTAGTAAGATGCATGGTGAGTTTTTTTACTTGTACATTTTCCCCACAATTCTTGGAAAATGAAGAAAGTAAATACAATTTTTCTTTTCACACAACTGTTAAATTAACAGGTTATTCCTCTCACACAGCATATGCATACTTGCAGCTTCAACCCAAAACACATTCTGCTGCTCCTCCTGAGGATGGGGATACCACATGTGTAAGACTTTTCCACAGCCTGGCCACATACAGAGGCCCAACATCCAAGTAGTACCTACAGGCGTTCTGGAGGCATAAATTACACATCTCAGTGCCTGACTACCTATCACAATTTTGAAGGCCTTGGAGTACCAGGACAACTGAATTACCCACAAAGTGACCCTATTTTGGAAAGAAAACACCCCAATGTATATTCTATGAGACATGATGAGTCTTTTGAACATGTCATTTTTTTTTCCCACAAGTTTTCAGAAAATGTGGAAAGAAAATGAAACTTTTTTTTTTTTTTTTTTTTTTACACAAAGTTGTCCATTTATAAGATATTTCTAGCACATAGCATGTACATAACAAAAAGTACACCCCAAAATACATTCTGCTACTCCTGAGTATAGGGATACCACATGTGTAAGACTTTTCCACAGCCTGGCCACATACAGAGGCCAAACATCCAAGTAGAACCTACAGGTGTTCTGGAGGCATAAATTACACATCTCATTTCCTGACTACCTATCACAATTTTGAAGGCCCTGAAGCAGCAGGACAATGGAATTACCCTTTGGATGCCTACCTCTCTTTTGGGAGTGCTGCGCTGCTTGTACTCGCCACTGCACTACTGGTGGATGCCTGCTCCTCCTCAGATCTCCGGAACCTCTTTGTTTGGACTCTCTCCTCCTCAGAATCCATTGCTGACCCACTGCTTTCAGTTGGCTCATACTCAAAATCTGAGTCTGAGAGAGAGTTCCCCGCCACCCTCGTCCGTCATACTCAGTATCTGGATTGCCTCCTCGCTGGTGTATAATTTTTTTAGACATTTTAATGTTCACTAGTACAGATGTTTATCACTAGTACAGATGTTTATCACTGGTACAGATGTTGATTTGACACTGTGACAGATGTGGCTTTGACCCTGGTAGACCGTGACAGATATTGATCACTGGTACAGAAGTGGATGAGCACTGGTACACTGTGACAGATGTGGATCACAGGTACTGTGGCAGATGTGGATCACTGGTACTGTGACAGATGTGGATCATGGGTACTGTGACACATGTGGATCACAGATGTTGATAACGGGCACAGTGACAGATGTGGATAACAGGCACAGTGACAGATGTGGATAACGGGCACTGTGACAGATGTGGATCACAGATGTGGATCATGGGTACTGTGACAGATGTGGATCACTGGTACGGTGGCAGACGTAGATCACTGGTGTGACAGATGTGGATCACAGGTACGGTGGCAGACGTGGATCACGGGTACTGTGACAGATGTGGATCACAGGTACTGTGACAGATGTGGATCACGGGTACTGTGACAGATGTGGATCACGGGTACTGTGACAGATGTGGATCACGTGTACTGTGACAGATGTGGATCACGGGTACTGTGACAGATGTGGATCACGGGTACTGTGACAGATGTGGATCACGTGTACTGTGACAGATGTGGATCACGGGTACTGTGACAGATGTGGATCACGGGTACTGTGACAGATGTGGATCACGGATACTGTGACAGATATGGATCATGGGCACTGTGACAGATATGGATCACGGGCACTGTGACAGATGTGGATCACGGGCACTGTGACAGATGTGGATCACGGGCACTGTGACAGATGTGGATCACGGGCACTGTGACAGATGTGGATCACGGGCACTGTGACAGATGTGGATCATGGGCACTGTGGCAGATATGGATCACGGGCACTGTGACACATGTGAATCACTGGCACTGTGACACGTGGATCACGGGCACTGTGACAGATGTGGATCATGGGCACTGTGGCAGATATGGATCACGGGCACTGTGACACATGTGAATCACTGGCACTGTGACAGATGTGGATCACTGGTACTGTGACAGAACTAGATCACAGATCCACATCTGTCACAGTACAAGTTGGTGTGAGCAAGTCAGTCCTGCACAACATAGATGATGCAACAAATGAAAACCACAGTCCACCTGTTCTACCATTGAATGAGTGGAGTGTCGTTCACATCCCATCAGACTTCTCCTTCTTGACATGTCTACCACTGGAACAGTGCATAATGTTCATAATGTTCTGGAGTTCAATCCTAATGTATTGGATATTAATATTTGTGTATATATATATGTCATTTATAATGGTCAGGGCTTTTTGTTTCCAGCGGTAGTGTGGAGGTACGCAGTTCCGGCACCTCCACCACTGAATGCCTTGGCAAGGGGTGCTGCGATGTGCTGGAAGGTCTATTGATACTGGGGAATCTATTGGTGCTGGGAGAGTCTATTGTTGATAGTGGAGGAAGTATTGTTGCTGGGGAAGATGTAATGTTGCTTGGAGACATCTACTGTTGAGGGAGGGGGTCTATTGTTGCTGGCTGGTGAAGGGTCTATTGATTTTGGCCTCTGGGAGATCTATTGTTGCTTGTGGGGGGGTCTGTTGTTGGGGGGTATTTTGTTGCAGGGAGTCTTTTGTTGCTGAGGGGGGTCTATTGATGTTGGCAGCAGGGGATCTAGTTTATGGTTTTCTTGCTATCATTAACAAACTCCATACAAATTACTTAGTACCACAAAATGATACTTGGTAATGTATTTTTTTAAAAGGGGCGGTACTGAGAGGTGGTTAGGGGGTGGAACGAATAGAGATGGTAGGGGGCAGAGACAAGGGTGACTCGGAAGGGGAGAGTACATGCACCTATTTTCTGAGAACAAAAGGGCCTGATAATGGTCTGCAGATCAAAAACAACAAAACGCCTTCCATTGTTATCCTTTTTATCAGATATTTGATTTTGATTGCACTATATCTTCTTATTGCCACATTTATTTATTTTTTTGTTTTGTGCTAATATTTTTCTCTTTTCTTTGTTCCAGGGAGTAAAGGAGTTTAAGTGTGAGGTATGTGGGCGGGAATTTACTCTGCATGCCAACATGAAGCGCCACATGCTGATCCATGCCAGTGTCCGCCCATTCCAGTGCCACATCTGCTTTAAGACGTTTGTACAGAAGCAAACATTGAAGACCCATATGATAGTGCACTCCCCTGTCAAGCCATTCAAATGCAAGGTACACGGCACACTGTCTGCACTTACTAGTAACCCTTGTGAATGGAAGGACCATTCTAAGCAATATAATTGTCAGTGGGGAGATAGTCAACAATTCTATAGTATCTCCTAGATTTGTTTCAAGCTGAACAGAAGTGTCAGTGTTCCCATTACCCCTACACAACCCAATATAAAAAGAATAGCCTATTCATCAGAAGATGCCATTGTCATGGTAGTAAGATCTGGAAAACAGGTGAGTTTAGTATTGGTATTCACCAAAATCTGGCTGCTATAGTGGACACATATAAAGAACCCCTTTTGTCATTTCCAAATGATACTCCCAGTGTAGCTTGTGCTGTTACAGTAAATAGGATGGATGTATTCTGAAATGGAATTCAATGATTGAAGATATAAACGCTACATTTACTTATAACAGGGGTCCCCAAACTGCATCCCGAGGGCCTTTGCTTGCCTTTACCCAGTAATATGGGCACTATTCCTTCCACTGATGCAAGGCACAATTCCTCCCACTGACACCAGAGATAGGGAACTAATTCCTCCACTGACACCAATGATGGGGCACTATTCCTCCCACTGACACCAGCGATGGGGAACTAATTCTCCCACTGACACCAATGATGGGGCATTATTCCTCCCACTGACACCAGCGATGGGGAACTAATTCTCCCACTGACACCAATGATGGGGCACTATTCCTCCCACTGACATCAGCGATTGGGAACTAATTCTCCCACTGACAACAATGATGGGGCACTATTCCTCCCACTGACACCAGCGATGGGGAACTAATTCTCCCACTGACACCAATGATGGGGCACTATTCCTCCCACTGACACCAGCGATGGGGAACTAATTCTCCCACTGACACCAATGATGGGGCATTATTCCTCCCACTGACACCAGCGATGGGGAACTAATTCTCCCACTGACACCAATGATGGGGCACTATTCCTCCAACTGACATCAGCGATGGGGAACTAATTCTCCCACTGACACCAATGATGGGGCACTATTCCTCCCACTGACATCAGCGATGGGGAACTAATTCTCCCACTGACACCAATGATGGGACACTATTCCTCCCACTGACACCAGCAATGGGGAACTAATTCTCCCACTGACAACAAAGATGGGACATTATTCCTCCCACTGACACCACCAATGTGGAACTAATTCTCCCACTCACACCAATGATGGGGCACTATTCCTCCCACTGACACCAGAGATGGAGAACTAATTCTCCCACTGACAACAATGATGGGGCACTATTCCTCCCACTGACACCAGAGATGGAGAACTAATTCTCCCACTGACAACAATGATGGGGTACTATTCCTCCGACTGACACCAGCGATGGGGAACTAATTCTCCCACTGACAACAATGATGCGGTACTATTCCTCCGACTGACACCAGCGATGGGGAACTAATTCTCCCACTGACATCAATGATGGGGTACTATTCCTCCCACTAACACCAATTATGTAATTTATTTTTACTTCTATTGACCACCAAACCTATGGCACTGAAAACTGCCACTGGCCAATCTGGAGATCCCTAACTTATAGGAAATATGAAAACACTTTAAAGTACGGCATTACTTTTGTTTCCAGAATTTGTACAGCATCACTGTGATGCTGTGTGTCATACTTGTTGCAGGATTGTAGAAATGAGCAGTGCATATTGTAGAAGACTTGAATATAGTGTTCATCTACTTGTGTTATTTTGTTGTTTAGGTTTGCGGGAAATCTTTCAACCGAATGTACAACCTGCTGGGTCACATGCACTTACATGCTGGATACAAGCCCTTTAAATGTCCCTATTGTTCCAGTAAGTTCAATCTGAAAGGCAACCTCAGTCGCCACATGAAAGTGAAACATGGAGTAATGGATATCACTTTAGAAAATCAAGGTAAAACTTTTTGAATGTTTGACTTTTTATATGAACTCTACCTACAAAAAGTGGTACAAAATGGATCACTCGTGCATACACGTCAAATTAAACAACTGCATTCACTAATTCCTGTTTTCTGGTTAACTAAGACAGGCCATAGAAGACACCTTTTTTTTTATCTTCTTGCATCCACAGCACAGTCCGTGTTGATGGGGGAATCCCTTCCACGTAGCTATTGTGTTCTGCCAGGGGTGCCTTGTAGGGAAAAAACAGTGATGATAAATACTGATTTTTGCGGCTGTAATGTAAAAATCTGACATGCTGCTGGTTGAACCCAAGTCGATTGTGCAACAATCGAATTGGATACAGTCAGCCTGCCCATAGATGGTTCAAATCCTGGCCGATCCCTGCTAAACCTGCCGAGATTCGAACCATCTATGGCTGGCTTAAGTCACTACAAGAGCTTACCAGCCTGCTATAATGGCAGTGACATTGCCACTTTCCTTTCTCTTAGGCAGGCCAAACATTAACCAATTTTCTTTCCTTCAACCACAGGTGGAAAAAAATAAAATTGCTTGATTCCCCCATCAACACATTCAGTTTTGATGGGAGAATCCCCCCTCCCCCCGACAAGCTACTGTATTCTGACAGCGGGAGGTTTCCCAGCCATCAGCATACAATGATCTTAATTTTCAGTGAGTCGATGAAGAGAGAGAGGAGGTGGGGCCAAGCCAAGGCTCTATGTGTGAATGGTCACACAGAGCAGCAGCTCGGGAACAAGCCTGCTTGGGTGCCCCCATGGTAATCTTCTTGCTCTGGGGGCACCCGGCAGGAGGGAGGGGCCAGTAGCACAGACGAGAGACCCGAGAAGAGGAGGAAATCACTGCACAGAGCAGGTAAGTATGACATGTTTGTTAATAAAAAAATAAATAAATAAATGCCTTTAATACAGCGAAGGAAATATGTATTTGATTCCCTGTTGATTTTGAATGTTTTTTCCCGCTCACAAAGAAATTATCAGTCTAAAAATCAAATGGTAGGTGTATTGTAACACTGAGAGACAGAGTAGCAACAAAAAATTCTAAAGAAATGCATGTCTAACAAATTATGCACTGATTTACAGTACATGTTCATGGGGGAAATAAGTATTTGATTTCCTAATCCCATTTTGTTACCTGTATAAAAGACACCTGTCCACAGGAGCAATCAAACAATCAGATTCCAAACTCTCCACCATGGCAAAGACCAAAGAGCTGTCCAAGGATGTCAAAGATAAGACTGTAGACCTACACAAGGCTGGTCATGGCTACCAAACTATCGCTAAGCAGCTTGGTGAGAAGGTGACAACAGTTGGTGCAATCATTCGCAAATGGAAGAAACACAAAACAACGGTCAGTCTTTCTAGGTCTGGTGCACCATGAAGATCTCACCTCGTGGAGTGTCAATGATCATGAGAACCGTGCGGAATCATCCCAGAACTACACGTGAGGATCTTGTCAATGATCTCCAGGCAGCTGGGACCACAGTCACCAAGAAAACAATTGGTAGCACACTACGCCGACAAGGATTGAAATCCTGCAGTGCCCGCAAGGTCCCTGTGCTCAAGAAAGCACATGTCCAGGACCGTCTGAAGTCTGCCACTGAACATCTGAATGATACAGAGGAGGACTGATTGAAAGTGTTGTGATCAGATGAGACCAAAATCGAGCTCTTTAGCATCAACTCAACTTGCCGTGCTTGGAGGAGGAGGAATGCTGCCTAACATGGTGGTGGAAACATTCTGCTTTGGGGGTGTTTTTCTGTTAAGGGGACAGGACAACTGCACCGTAACAAAAGGACGATGGACGGACAATGTACCGTCAAATCTTGGGTGAGAACCTTCTTCCGTCAGCCAGGGCATTGAAAATGGGTTGTGGATGGGTGTTCCAGCATGACAATGACCCAAAACACACAGGCAAGGCAACAAAGGAGTGGCTCAAGAAGAAGCACATTAAGGTCCCGGAGTGGTCTAGCCAGTCTCCAGACCTTCATCCGATTGAAAATCTGTGGAGGGAGCTGAAAGTTCGAATTGCCAAACGTCAGCCACTAAACCTTAATGACTTGGAGAGGATCTGCCAAGAGGAGTGGGCCAAAATCCCTCCTGAGATGTGTGCAAACCTGGTGGCCAACTACAGGAAACGTCTGACCTCTGTGATTGCCAGCAAGGGATTTGCCACCAAGTACTAAGTCATGTTTTGTGAAGGGGATCAAATACTTATTTCCCTCATGAACATGCAAATCAGTGCATATTTGTTAGACATGCATTTCTTTTGAATTTTCTTGTTGCTATTCTGTCTGTTTCAGTGTTACAATACACCTACCATTTGATTTTTAGACTGATCATTTCTTTGCGAGTGGGCAAGCATTCAAATTCAGCAGGGGGTCAAATACTTATTTCCTTCACTGTATCACTTGGAGTTGATCAATACATCAACTTCAGTACAACCAGCCTGCCCACACATGGATCGAAATTTGTCTGGTTCCTACTGAACCGGCTCATTTTCCGACTGTAGCTGGCTTTATGCTGCAATTATACTTTGCTATCTCCTCACTAAATTCACCATAACATGCTCAGTCCTCTACCATTCCTTGTTGGACAGGGGAGCTTCGTGGCTCATGCTTTGCCCATGCAGGTCAAAGTAACCAGTTCTCTTTCAAGCAGACCACCAAACTCCCATACTTAACTATCTTCTTTCTCCCCCATCGCTCTGTTCAGTCATTAGACCTAAAAGCCATGTGCAAACTACAAGGGGCAGGAATCATAGCTCACAAAAGGTAATGACTTCTAAGGGAAAGAGCTGAACAGCCCAGTTGCTTGCTTCTCTATTTGTGGGTTTTCCTTTAGCTATCTGCATGGATTTGGCCAAGAACAGGTTTGCTTTTAATGCAGCATTGTATTTTGTTCTTGGTAATGTACTCTAATATCGATTCTCTTTAGTAATAAAAAATTTATTTTTATAAAAAGAATGTAAAAATCCTTTTAGCCAGGTTGTTGCATATTTTTCTATGTCTAGTTAAGTAAATTATAAGTGAAGGTAATTAATTAAACTGTATGGGGCATTGTATTCCACCATTTCAAAGCTGTTTCAGCAAATAGATTTTCAGAGTTATAATGAATGAATTTTCAGCCAGTCCACAATGAGTTTTTTTTAAGTGTTACTAAACCCACAACAGTAAAATCAGGCTGTATACGCAGTAAATCATGCTTGTTATACTCACCGTGGAACCTAAGGGGTTAATCTTCTGCATTGTGTAAAAACGCAGTTTGATCCTGACTTTTCTGATCCTCCCCTTCTTCCAGTGTCTCCCTCTTATCTCCTAATATGACATATCATGTACAGTCACTCTGCATATGCTCAGTTTGGTGTGTATTACTAGAGAGTTTTTTGTTTTCTTGGGAGAGTGCATGTGATCAGCACAGGGCCAATCAGCACTGTCTAGACAGAGGTCAGGGATCCTGCATCCTCCTAGAGCAGAATGAAAACTCCCCCTACATGCTTTAATGTGTGCTCGGCTGGACCCTGATAGAAGTCACAAGACTGTTATATACTGCTGATGAGAAAAGATATTTAGCAGTTCATATTTACTAAAATAATTGCATTTCCATGTTGTGTGTACTGTGAGAGACCAGATATAGTGAATGCAGGGTCCTGGGTTTAGTAACACTAACTTTTGTAGGCCTGTAACCAAATAGTTTTCTTAGTGGATTTAAGAACTACCGTATTTTCCGGCGTATAAGACGACCCCCTACTTTTCCTGTTAAAATGTAGTGTTTAGGCTATACTCGCCGTATAAGACTACCCCTCTTCCAATGCACACCAGTGGGAGGAATCGTGTCCCATCATTGATGTCAGTAGGAGGAATAGTGCCCCATCATTGGTATAAGTGGGAGGAATAGTGCCCCATCATTGATGTCAGTAGGAGGAATAGTGCCCCATCATTGGTATCAGTGGGAGGAATAGTGCCCCATCATTGGTGTCAGTGGGAGGAATAGTGCCCCATCATTGGTGTCAGTGGGAGGAATAGTGCCCCATCATTGGTGTCAGTGGGAGAAATAGTGCCCCATCATTGGTGTCAGTGGGAGGAATCGTGCCCCATCATTGGTATCAGTGGCAGGAATAGTGCCCCATCATTAGTATCAGTGGGGGGAATCGTGCCCCATCATTGGTGTCAGTGGGAGGAATCGTGCCCCATCATTGGTGTCAGTGGGAGGAATCGTGCCCCATCATTGGTGTCAGTGGGAGGAATAGTGCCCCATCATTGGTGTCAGTGGGAGGAATAGTGTCCCAACATTGTTGTTAGTGGGAGGAATAGTGCCCCATCATTGGTGTCAGTGGGGGGGGAGGAATAGTGCCCCATCGTTGGTGTCAGTGGAGGGGGAGGAATAGTGCCCCATTGTTGTGTCAGTGGGGGGGGGAGGAATAGTGCCCCATTGTTGGTGTCAGTGGGGGGGGGAGGAAAAGTGCCCCATCGTTGGTGTCAGTGGGAGGAATAATGCCCCATCATTGGTATCAGTGACACCAATGATGGGGCACTATTCCTACCAATGACACTTGCTGGCCCCTGTTCCAGTATGGTGCTGCTGCAGCCAGCATATGTGGTTGCAGCAGCACCTCTGGACGGCACACTTACCGGCCGCTCCTCCACTCGATTTTCGCAGGGCCGCTCGGCTCCGCCTCCTCGCCGGTGATTGGCCGCCTGTGTGCCTTTCCTGAGCTACAGTTCTGGCGGCCAATCACCGGTGAGGAGGCGGAGCCGAGCAGCCGCGTGAACATCCAGTGGCCGAACCGAATGTAGGAGCAGCCACGCTTCCTGGACCGGATCGTTGTGGGACCGGAGCCAGGTAAGAGACAGCAGCCCCTGCCCACCCCTGTACTTAGTGTCCCTTGGAAGGGGGGGGGGGCGGCGGCGGCACCACGCCACCCCCCTAAAAAGTGTCAGCATGCCGTATACCGGCGTATAAGACGACCCCCGACTTTTGAGAAGATTTTCAAGGGGTAAAAAGCTTTGAGGATAACTCAATCCTTTCTGTGTTTGTGGGCCCCTGGTGATTGCTGTATATCAGTAGCACTCTCACAAAGGAGGTTAAAGCTACTTTTTGTTTATTTGTAAAAATGAAGGTCATTGTAATACATAATTGATTATGGCCAAAACCTTAATTTCTCTGTTTTGTTATAAGTAAGTTATAGCTCTTTTCCCTACGCACTGCTCGTAAATTTTGGCACTAAAACTAATTTACAGAAAGCAAACATCAGACAACCTGTTTGACTGGTCATGTATAACTGAAATAAATGTAAAGCAATATTAAAGCAAACATTTATTATATTGCAACTTACCAAGTCTTAGGTGTGATGGCTGCATTAGTTTTCTTTTTATGCTTTCTTTCCTTTATTTTCTCTTGGTTATCCCGTGAGTAATGCCTAGTAGACACAATGAGAATATCGGGCGAATGATCATCTGGGTTTGTTTTTGCATGCTAGTCTCCATATTGAAAATTAAGATGTTACTCAACTTATGAAAATTCTCGTATGATAGAATAGGATTTTGGAAAGGATGTATTGTTTGTTATTTGCATTGTATTTTTGGATGACTGCTGTACTGATTAAATGAAAATAGTACGATATGGTATCGTACAACAAAAATATTGTGAGCTTGTCCCTTCGGTTATTGTTGCATGGCTCTCAAAATCTGTATACTAAAGATCAGATCATTGTATGATAGTTCTTCATACAATTTTCATATGATTTTCTTATATTGTGTATGGGCCTTAAGTCTGTTGTTTTTCAAGAGAACAAGCTGTCCTACAGATGTAGCAGTTGGAGGGTTGAGATTTATTTATTTATTTCAGGTACTTATATATCGCCGTCTATTTACGTAGCGCTTTACATATATATTGTACATTCACATCAGTCCCTAACCCTCAAGGGGCGTACAAGCTAAGGTCCCTAACTCACATTCATATATACACATACTAGGGCCAATTTAGACAGGAGCCAATTCACCTACCAGCATGTCTTTGGAGTGTGGGAGGAAACCGGTGTACCTGAGATAAACTATTTACCAGTGACAGCAGTGCTTACAATGATCAGCTTTTATTTATTCATGTAAAACCTTCATCCCAAAAGGGAAAAAACTGTTTGCTGTAACGGCTTATTAAAGTGTTAGCTGGACTTTGGCTTCAATGTGTTAGTGTATCTACATCTGCTAGTACAGTACATCTAACAGCCCCCTCCCCCTAGACTGACAATGCTGCTGTCTGCTGTGCCTCCTGTGCATCTTCATCCAGAGTTGGATCGCTCTAATACAGGAGGTGTGTTACTGGCCAGATCACCAGGTGAAAATGGAGGGGAAAAAAGCCTAAAAATAGAAAGCTAATGCAGGTACCACATGATTTGTAAACTGCAATATATAACATTTTTGGGTTTAATACCGCGCCTTCCATGGCAATGACCCCACAGTACTCATTGGGTGTTGGTTCTACCACTTTCTTTTTCTAACATTGAAATAATTCCATTCCAGATCATATAATGGAACTCCCAGATACTGAGGGTAATGACATGGACGGCCAGCAAGAGATGGAAGATTATGAAGACAATTCTTATGAATACAGTGAAGCGGACAATGTGACTGAAGAGAACAGTTCACCGACGGATCAGTCTCTAAAAGAAATGGTCTATTACAATGTCTTGTAGTTCCAGAACAATATCCCATATCAGAGGGAATTTCCAGCTTGACCGGAGATTTTTAGTATCCTGGAGAAGAAATGTTTTTGCGTTCCACCGTTTAATGAAGAGCATTGTGTTGTCAGCAGGGACCATGCCTTAGAATAGCGATAACTTATACAGAGCAGACTGTCACATGGTCTCTGAAGGTCTGACCTGCCATGGAGAACGTAATAGATTTCTATGACATTGGCTAACACATGCCTATTTGCCTTCATTTAGCTGGATATTCATTGGAGAATTCATTGTAGGCCTTTCTGGACCACATACTAGACTGTATTTTGTGTTTCAGTAGTTTGATGCACTGGCATTATAAATGTTTGTGTTTGATGCATACTATTTGGGTTTTGCTGTTCTTATCTGAAATCTAATTCAGTAACCTGAAAGAGACCTGGTACAGCTGTAGGGGAGTAATCCATTCAATCAGCTCCAGTATCTGTGTGTTACACGTAGGGAATTACTAAGAACAGGATCTCATTTCAGTGAAGGGAAATTAAAATGAATCCTCCTTGGCAGCAATTCAACTGATCCAAGAGCGTCCACAACGTTCCATCTTATTGGAGAACTGATTGTACTAAATGTGAGGTGGATGCTTTATATATAGGCATTGGTGGGAAATATATAGGACTAGATACATACAACACATATTCTACCTCTCCTGCTCTCGGTCATCCTATACATGAGAGCAGCCTCCTGTTATTACACCAAAATATCTTAAAAATACATTTTTCTCAGCCATTTATCAACACAGGAATTCTTTGATTGTTGTTTTATGCTGACACCTACAGGAGAATTAGACACTGGCAAAAAAAAAGTTGTTGGCCAACATAAGATGACTCCACCCACAGCCATAATTCTGCTAGTGTCCTCAGGAGAATTAATGTGTTTTCTGTGTGTCTGCAAGTTTTTATGCAATCAGCAATTGTTGATAAATTCATGTCTGATAAGTTAAATCCTGGAAGTCTCTCCAGCCTGCCAACGAGCGCAGGTGTTCACAGTGTTATATTGGTGTTCTCTCTGCGACAGCCCTGAATTTCCTGATGTTTCTCCAGTTAACACCCACTGGTAGATTCAGGCCTTACATGAATATCTTGGACAGCTTTTCAGTTAGCAAAGCAATGTAGATTTCCAGTTTCTTATCTATACTGGTGTTCCCTCTGCAAAAGGCCTGCAGTCGGCAGTGACTACCATTCGTGACTACATTTCGGCAGTAACAGTGGCTACCATTCGTGACTACATTTCGCAGTAACAGTGACTACTATTCGTGTTCCAGTTCACACAGGACTCCACTATTCAGGTCAGGCTAGTATGTCTGGGGGTTCTTTATGAATTTAATGAGCCATAGCTGACACAGTTTTTACATGCCCCCATCTCAGGGGGCTCACTGTTGTGAGTCATGGTAGCAGGCCAGTGCTGCATTGGGGAATGGAATGCATCCCTTAATTATATCTGTGAGTGTCGGAGGAAGTATTTACAGAAATAGGCTGTAATTAGCAAGGCACTGTGTGAAAGTGAATTGTTTTCCTTTCCTATTCTGTTTCTTAATGCTGGCATTATTCTAGACACTTGTGACATTTATGCATTGGTATCGCTGAGGATTCTGCTTCCTTCAGTAGCAAGGAACTGTACATTACATGGGCACTGAGCGTGACTATAGTGCTGTGTGTACTACAGAAACTTGGAGGCAGTGCTTAGCCCTGTCTCTGTAGGTTAGAGCTCTGTTGTGTCTGGGATGTCATTTTTGGCACTTCTGTTTTCTCTACTATGGTCAGGAATTGGTGACGCACTTCCTTCGGGTACTTTGGTTCACGTGGGGGCACCCAATGTTCTTCTTTCTTCCTTATTTATTGAGGAAACAGTTGCTGTGGAAAAGCTGAGGAGACATTCTCAGGCACAGTAATGACACAAGTTACTGCTTAGCTGCCATCTAGTGGATCTGACAGACTGTTAATTTTTCCATTCTTTTCCTAGCGATCTCTCCTAACCATCCATGCTAGACTGCACACTTCTATTACAACCTCTTGGAGTTTATCCACACAAGCTTATAGAGCCTCTCCTGGGTATTGTTAAGCTACCTAAATGTTGATAACAGTGATTACATTCAGATTGTATTTGGAGAGTTTAATATTAAACTCTCCTCTGGTTAATTTACAGGAGCTGTTGTTGATTCTTGGGTGCAGTTGCTGTCATGCAGTTCCACCTACCCTGATGCAGATCTTAACAGTGCTCACCCAATTGCTCTCAGCAACCAGTGAATTCTTTTTAGCATTTCTCTGTGGCCACTATGCATTTTGTTACAGATCTAATTGTTTTTGGTAATGGTATACATCTGGGAAGCTGGGGGATTAGTTTGGGTCTTAATCTTTAGCTTGCTTTGTTTGGCCTTCACTTCTATCTCTAAAAAACATGAGTATGATAATTGCATTATTTTGATTTTGCATATGTAAGTACATCATAGGACTTATTCCCATATGGCTCTTGTGTGATGGGGAATCCTTATGATTCCATTCAGCTGTCTGCTGGTGACCTCCTAAGACCCATTGTTCATTACCATTTCCTTCTCTGCTAAATCCAACACAGGAATGATAGACCTCTCTGGTTCGGGTCAGGGTCCCTCTGCAGATCCATAGGTCTTGATGTGGGCTCTTTCCCTTCTCTAAAGGAAGAAGTGTTGGTCTGTGGCTATTACACCCACATCTGAGAAAATGTTTTCAGATATATCTTTAAATTAGTGGCATTGATTTGTGTTTGTTCCTCATCAGACCATGGAGTATGGGTAGACTGAAATTTATCAATTATCAAATATTTTAAGCAACAGACCGCATGGATTCATGAAAGACAGAAGTTGTCGAACAAAACTGATTTCTTTTTATGAGGAGGTGAGCAAAACCTTGGACAAGAGTGGTGGATTTTGCAAAAGCATTTGATGCAGTTCCCCACACATGGCTAATGTGTAAGGTAAAGTCTACAAGCTTGGAAAAATCTGTAAGTAAATGGAAATAAAACTGGCTAAAAGATCGTATTCAGAGAGTAGTGGTTGATAATTTTATACTTTGAATGGTCTAGGGTTGTCAGTGGTGTACCCCAAGGTTCAGTGTTGGGACCTTACTTTTTAATATATTTATAAACAATATAGGGTCTGGGATTATAAATCCCATTTCAGTCTTTGCAGATGACACCAAGCTGTGCAGTGGAATAACGTCCTTACAGGATGTCTCCAATTTACAAGCCGACCTCAATGCACTGTTTAATTGGGCAACTATGTGACAAATGAGGTTTAATGTTGATAAATGTAAGGTTCTGCACTTGGGGGCTAAGAATATGCATGCATCATACATATTAGGGGGGGGGTACAACTGGGGGAATCAATGGTGGAGAAGGATCTGTGAGTTCTGGTAGATCACAAGCGTAATAATGGCATGCAATGCCAAGCTGCGGGTTCTAAAGCGAGCAAAATCCTCTCTTGTATTAAAAGAGGTATAGACTCCAGAGAGAGAGATATCATTTACCCCGACACAAATCATTAGTAAGACCTCATCTGGAATATGCAGCCCAATTCACAAAAAGAACATTGGGGAACTGGAGAAAGTACAGAGAAGGGCAACCAAACTGATAAGAGGTATGAAGGAGCTCAGCTATGAGGAAAGATTAGAGGAAATGTATTTATTCTCTCTTGAGAGAAGGAGATTAAGGGGGGATATGATCAACATGTATAAATACATCAGTGGTTCATGCTTTGCTGGGTTTTTTTTTTTTGCCTTCCTCTGGATCAACTGTGGGTATAGGATTATAATTTTTTTTTTTGGTTGAACTGGATTGACTTTTGTCTTTTTTCAGCTAGACTAACTATGTAACTATTTCAGCTGTGCCAGTCTGCTAGGCTTTCTGGTTTGGCTATTGCATGATTCTCCTGTCAGTACTCATGCGTGAGCACTCTGGTTAAGGGTCTGGACTTCAGAATTCTTGTATCAGAGATGTTTGCCTTGATTGGTCTTCTAGGGACACTGTCTCTTCCAGTCATTTCTGTACATTGTTTAACTATGATGCTTCTTGATTTTCATCTCTAGTCCCCTTCGCTGTCTCTCACCTTCGACTTTTCCTTTGTCACCCTTCAGATTAGCAGATCTTCATCAAGCCCTCTAAGGTCCTCGGAATCACAGTGTACACGGTGTTCAGTGGTTTGCTTCCAACTTGTTCACCAGTTTCATACACAAGGAGGCATTTGCCCTGCTTTGAATCTTAAGTTCTGAATGTCTTCATTTGGATCCAGAAAGTCTGCATCTAGAAACTCTACATGGAATCCACCATATATGTCATTGTCTTCCCTTCACCAGGGGGACTTTTTGACTTTTTTGAACATCAAGGATGCTTACCTGAATGCTTCCATCTTTCCAGCACATTTTTGTTTAATTACGCTTTACTGTGAGACCCCTACACTACCAGTTTATGGCCATGCTTTTTAGCTTCAGGTGTTAACCCTAGTATTAGCCCTGCTGCACTTTCATGACAACCCCATTCTGGGATACTTGATGACTTGTTATTGTGGGAACAAATGGTGCAGGCTTATTTTGAATAAAGACGCTTTGACGTCCAGAAGTTGTAGCGCTTTGGGTGGATTCGGCACCTTCATAAATCATCGCTGGAACCAACTCTTCATTTGAAATATCTGGATTTAGTTCAGGACATAGTTTGACCAAAGTGTTTCTTCCACAGGAGAAATTTCAGACTTTCCAGTCCCAGATTCAAGCTTTCAAATACAGCAGTCGCCCAACTCTCCCCTTGGCTTGAGTGTTCTTGGATTAATGGTAGCTTCCTTTGCTCAGCTTCCATCCAGACCTCTTCAACACATAATTCTGTCATCGGGGGACAAGTCACTTCGGTCCCTGGGCAGATCAATTTATTTGGCACCAAGTACTAGATTGTCCTTGCCCTAGTTGCTCTGGAAGCCAGATCTGAAAATGGGGAATTCT